GGGGGGGGGGGGGGGGGGGGGAAGATGCCAGGCAATAACGTTTATAAACAGTATTCCTCTGACTTTTTTTTTTTATCTCTCGTTTTTTTCTTTACATGGGGGTTACTCGGTGCTTTTTCTGTGTTACAAAAATCAGCTCGGAGTTCTTCGCGTTAGCTGACAACTCATCTATCTTTCCTCGGTTGCAAGGAGATTGATTTAGATCAGGACAGCTTCAACCAAATGTTGGTCCTTCAAAGTTTCCCTCCCTCCTCCAAAGTATCCATAACGCTCCAAAACCCAGCATTCTCTAAAGATTCTCATTCTGCCGCTTTTGTTCATTGTAACAAGTCGTTTCAGGCTGCCTTGCTGTGGGCAACCTCTATTTTTTACATAGCCAAGGTGGCAGGCCCCATCCCTCTTGTGCATATCAAGGGCCTTAGTGGGAAGAAGAGGGCAGCCTTAAGAGGGAGGGACATTCCCACCCAAGGGAGAGCACCAAGTCTGGAAACGTCAGGGATCTTACCCAGCATTTTCATATCTGTGCTAAGCAATAGCGTTGAACCAAACTTTGTAAAGTCTCTCTCCAAACCCGCTGCTCAGAGCACTGAGGTGGCCATGGAAATGTCCCAGAAGTGACTTTTCTCTGTAGACCTATATGTTCAGAAGACCAGGAAAGGCCTTCACAGAGATTGCACTCAGCTTTTGAGAATCAACAAGCACCACTTCAGAGGACATTGTGGTTGTCTTGCTCTCCTGGCTTTCCACAGCCTAGGAAAGGTCAAGAGACCAAAGACTGTGATGTCAAAAGGACATTCCCATCACACTTTCTGAAAGCAACCTGCCAAGAAGAATGGAAGCCACCAGAAAATGGCAAACAGAGTCCATTCCTCTTGTTTCCTTCTTTGGTCAATATTCATGTTGTATAGATCAGCCCATTTGGTTAGTTTATGACTCAAAGCATTGCGTGGATTCCCAAAATGGGTTAGTTTAGTAATTGCATTGTATAATTTGTGCATAGGTAGTCAATGGTAGCTAGATTCTTTAAAATGCTGAGCCATAAACTGCCCAAATATATATGTGTTAATTCTAAAGTGTCGTGTGAACCTAGCCAGTTCTGATAAGGGTCAGGCTTTGGAGCAACCCTAACATCTCTCCTGTGCTTGCGATTGTGTTTTCTTCTCAAAGAATAACTTGAGCAAACGTGGCGTTGTAGGCAAAGGGAAACTAATGCTTTACCATGATACATCACAGGAGAACCTCAACTAAGTTTTATCATGCTTCACTTGAATTTGTTAATCTGAAGGCAAACCAAGATGGATTCCCAGTATTCTTTTCTAGTTCAAAGCAATGCATACTGGCTAAGGAGCAGCTTTGCTATGTAGGATGCACAGGAACAGAGATGGGAAGCCCGTTAATTGCACCTATTAGCGACTGTGTGAGTTGATAATAGGCGCAATTAACTTTTTGCCACTTCAAAAAAGAACATTTTGTCTGGCATCTCTTTTCTGTGTTGCTCTTGCTGAAAGATGTTCACAGGAGGATAACAATGATGCAGTGACTTGAGGACGTGCCATATGAGAACAAACTGAAGGAACTTGAGATGTTCAGTCTCAGGAAGACTAGAGACATGATATCAGTTTCTGGGTACATAAAGGAATACTACAGAGAATATGGTCAGGAACTCTTTTTCATTGCCATTGAAACTAGAACCAGAAATAAAGGGTAGAAGTTGGGGCTACCTAGATTCCATTTAAATATAAGGAAAAGGTTCTTGATGGTAAACTCCAGCCAAACATGGAACAATCTACTTATGAAGGTTGTGGCTGCTCCATCTTGGGAGGATTTTAAGAAGAATCTGGACAGCCACATCTCAAGAGAGGTTTCCTTAGTTTTCCTGCATATTGCAAAGAGTCAGATTATACGGTCCGGGTGGTTCCTTCTAACTCTACAGTTCCATGAGTTCATGATGATAAAGATGCACCAGACATGAACATCGCTTTAGAACAGAACAGATGGTTGGTCCATAAAACCTCTTCTTGTCTACTCAGATTGGTTTCCCAGGACTTTTTCTCCATCACCCAAGACTTTCCATGGGACAGTGGACTTAGGACTTCCTGCCCTTAGGCCATAGGTCGGAGAGGGCCTTTTTGTGATGACTCTACATTACAACTGGCCAACACATTACACATAGTACATCTGAACCCAGCCAATTTCATCCGTAATCCATAGTTTTCTGGCTTAGCCTGTATCCTATTGGACCTTACTCCACGAACCACGACCTCAGGCACAATATGAACCAAATCTATCTGTTCCTTGAGAGATTACCCTAGTCAAAATGGTGGAGTGTTTTTGTGTGACAGAGAAAGAATGAGCAAGAAAAACACAGGGAGATCCCCAGAGCTATCGGAGGAGTGGAGGAAGTCAATCAATAGTAAATCAATCAATCAATGTTGAAATAAATAAATCCATACACTCTCTCCTGATATATAGACATTGAAAACTGGGGCGGGGGGGATTGGTTCATTTAGCCCTGTTTTCTTACTGATCTGTTTAGGATGAATTCTGTTGGTATTTCATGAACATGGAGAAATGTAGCTTCTTCGCATAACCTGAATGTGCAGCCAGCGAGAACCTGTGCCACTCTCTTGATCGTGCGGTTGGGTGCTAAGTTAACCCAGGTTTTGTCTTGGTGGCACCTCGGTGTTTAAATGGGTTTTCAAACGAGGCACAGATGTTTGGGTAATCAACCGATGCGATTCCATCTCGTAGCCTATGACATCCAAACAGTTTGTATATGTCACGTTTGTTTTGCATAGATGGACGGCGGGTTTGGCTGACCCATCTGTGACTAAATGAAGATAAATGGGGGCCTTTCCTTATCCCATATGGGAAATTAGGTGTGTTTCGAGATTTTGGCAAAGAAAAGCTTACATTTAAAGAATGACAATGCACCATGCACATTTTCCCCATTGAATATATACTTTGAAAAGACTAGCTGAGGATGGGACATGGGGGGGGAAAAAAGACATTTGACAGGTACAGAAATTCTG